GATCTAACTCTGAATGTACCCTGGTTATGCACAATATCATGCAGTTGCAAATATTTGTGGTTCATTTTCCTTTCCCTAGCTTTTCCTTTCCCTTGCTTTCTTTTCATGTTATGAACATGCTGCAAAGTTGTTGGTTTTTTTTTTATTTTGTTTTGTTTTTAAGATAGGGTTTGCTTGGAAAATGCTTATTAGAACCAAAATGTCTTTTTTATTCTATAGAAAAAAACAACAACAACAAAAACAGTAAGCTCTGGAAGATATTTTCTTCTGGTTTTATAATTGTGCAGAATATAGAGAGCTAAACTGATTTCCTTATTGGAGGGAAAAGCAAACCTTTCTGATTAAGTTGCATCTGAATTGGCTGGTGTAAATCATAAACCTATTGGCTTAATAGCCTACTTTGTTTCATACCAGCTGAAAGTTGCCCCAATATAGTGTATAAACATAAGCATATAAATATATACTGTAGAGAAAATCAGTACCACATACAATCAAAAATAACCATTAAAATGGAGCAGATGCTAAGCTAGTGTCAGTCGTCCAAGCTCCATTGACTTCAATTGGATTATGACAATTTATACTCATTGAGGATTTACATCATGGTGCCTGTGTTTCATGCTATAAAGCCCAATCTGAGAGTCCTTATATGAGAAAATGCTGCAAACAGACTGCAAAATGTGCTTGTGTCTGGACTGTAACATTGAGCTTTAAAAGGTAGATGCCAGAGAAGTTTGTCAGCTTACCTTTTTTAATGATTTGGAGAATTAAAATTGATCAGGATTAAAGAGGGTTTGGTTTTGCTTTTTTTTTCTTGTCAGTTTGGTTTTATTTCATCATTTTTCATGACTGGAAAGGCTCATCCTTGTACATTCATCTGAAATGTACTCTGTGCTTCCAATTAAAAGATAGGCTGGGAAATGTAAAAAACACACTACAACAGTTTCTTCCTGGCTCACCCGTTGACTGAACCAGCAGATTGTATCCCAAGTTCCTAAGTTTCTATGTTCAGAGCTAATTAATCATAAGTAGATCAGTAATTTGTAAAGAAATGAAAAAAAGTCCAATAATTCAACAGTTGGCTAACAATTCTCTGTCTGACTATTGTGCCAAGTTCTCTTCTGACTGTTATGAAGAATGAATCAAGTTTGAAAGAACAGGTTGTCAAGAAAAAAACTCATAATAGTATGAACGTGTCTTGACTCTCTTGAAGCACTAAAAAATTGTAGCTTCTGCACATTCCTATCTACTCAGTGACACACAGGCTGTTCTCTGTTTGACATTAAATGCTCTTGTGCAAACAGTGGGTCAGTGTACTTTTTTCAAAAACGCAACACTTTGTCACATGACAGGATGTCCCAGCCTTTAATGCTGCAGGACTTGTGATGCTACAGCATCACATACACAGTATGGAGAAAGAGTCTGGAGTTTGTTGGGTTTCGGTACTTTTTATATCAATGTGACAGCAGTATTGTCTGCTGCTAGTTGTCACTGGTATTTCTTGTAGGATGTGCTCCACTACATAGAACTCTTTGACCTAGACTCAGCCACACCCAACTTTAATAAAATGCACAATTGTCAAAAGGGGCTACAACCCTATTATAACAGGACTGAATTTGAGAGGACACTTCTGATCAGCTCCCCATGTTGGGTTTGACCGTTATGGGCATCTCGTTCGTGTGAAATGTGCTGTGAACTGAGTTCAGTATCCCACAGTGGACTTTATAGTTAGTCTTGTCATCAGTGATTCACAACCATTGAACCTCTGTCAAAGTGTCAGTCTCATTATACATGAGGGTTGTTTTCTGGTTCTTAAAAGGCCACTGGCAGCTATCAGAGCAGTCTCTCATTTTCCCTCCTTATTAAAGAAAAGTTGCTGATAATGGGGGTTTGAGAGAAAGTGGGCATAAAAAGTCAAAACTAACTTATCCTTTTTGTTTTCTTTTTAGGCAGAATTTATAGACAGCAAACTTGTGTGCTGTGCTGTGCAGTCATCACCTAAGATGTTATCACCAGTGTCTCCATCACCTGTAATGAGGTCTTTGGCAGAGACGGTCCCAACCCCAACAGTGCAGACGATATATCCATCACACAAACCTATTTCCCTGGCCGACAGGTAGTGAGCTGTCCATATAAATCCTATAGGTCTCTCTAGGTTCTCAAGAGTTTGATTACTTTTATTCTATCATAACTACAGTGGGAAAGAACCGACTTACCCTGTCATCCTGAACTAAGGTTTGCATCAGTAGCAAGTCAGCTGCCATTTGGTGTTTACCTCAGGACAAGTGGAAAGCATAAGAAACATCCTGTGAATCTTCTCTGAGTGGAATGCCACTCTTAACTGGCAATACAGCCAACCAGTGTCTTCTAATGGCCAGATAGACCACTGGCCTGAGATGCCGGGGGTTTTTTTGTGACAAATCACTTCCCCGAACTACTGGTTTGTTTTAGGGATGTAAAGGACTAGTTGACTATCCGATAAGCAAATGCGTATCAGATAGTCGACAGGATAGTTGACTAGTCGCTCTCCCCCTTGCTGCCTCTATCATATAGAGGCAACAAGGTGGGGGGAGGGGGGAAGGGAAGGGAGGTACTTCAAAGCAGCAGCACCGCGTCGAACCTGAGATCAGCTGGGGAGTCCGGGCTCTGTGCGGCATTTTTTGTGGCTCCTGGAGTCAGCTGGGGACTCCCCAGCTGATCCTGGATCCACATGGCAATTCAAAGCAGCAGCACCGCATTGATCCAGGGTCCAGGCTCCATGCGGGCGCTTCCGCTTTGAAATGCAGAAGGGACCCCATTGGGGGCTCTTGTGCATTTCAAAGGAGGAATGTGGAAGGGCCTATCGAGTAGTTGATGGAATTTCCATCGACTACACAACTAGTAAATTAATCAATATTTAATATCCTTAGTTTGTTTGCACTTGCAATCTGTTTTTCTAAATTCAATGGGAAGGGCTGAGAAATGGGGGCCCTTTCCAATGAATACCAGGCATGGATTTTTCAGAGAAGCGTCAGGTTGGAATTGTTCTTCTTATAGCATGAATTAGCAAAAAAACACATTCCAGCTTCCCAATGGCAACTTACTCTTTTTCAGTTCTTTAATTTTTTTTCTAATGGCAATCTTTCCTCTCTAGAGACTGAAGAGTGTTGAATTAATCAATCTGCCTATTTAAAGGGGTAAATCAATAATTGGATCCAGGTGACACCCCAAAAGCAAAGGTCAGCCTTCCATTTCCAGACTAACCATATTGTACTGGTTGGAAATGAGAAACAAAAGTCTTAGGATGGGGACTAAATACATGAGACTTTCAACTCTGGAATCAAATTTTGATTTACAGGTCACCAGTCAAATGTACTTGTTGATTTCCACTTGTGATGTCTGCCTGTCTGCACGGTGCCCAGTGCTAAGGGTCAGGATTAGCGTTCTCTTATTTGCATAAAAACAAACTAACCCCACACACTAACATTTTCCCAAAATGCTTAATTTAAAGAAGAAAAATCCTAACTGCTGCGTCTTTCTCCTGCACAGCTAGCCCTCCTTCCTTCCCGGTGTGCCTCTTCATAGGTTCTCATTAAGCTTTGCCCTTTTGGAGAATGTGCCCATAAATCTACTCATGAACTGTTCATGTCTCTAAAGTGCTAGCAGTTAACAATGACAGAGTATGACAGAAGCATCAGACCTAGGGCTAGCTCAGTAGACGCAAGCTGCCCATTCCATATCTTTTGGGTAGCCTGCAAAATATTCAGCACATGGGTGAGAGGGAGAGGCACCTTAGTAGAGAGACTCTGAAGCATTCGTGTCTGAGCAGAGAGTTTGGAAATGTTAGCCATGTGGTGAAATCTGGTCCTTCTAAAAGGTAAATCCACCTCCCCAAACACCAAAGATCAGTGCAGTTTTGGACCAGATAGATATAAACCTGGCATATTCTGAAGAGTAAGCTCTCTAGACACTCCCTCTCTTCTTCTCTCTCCCTCCACCTGCTACATTCCCCTCCCTCTTTTTTGCCCCTCTTCCGTCTCTTCTTGTCTCCAGCAATCTGCCTGGTTCTCAAATAGGGGTGGTGACAGACCCAGAAAATGTGCTGTATTTTGCATGCATCTTGGCAACAGCCCCACAAGAGCGCTCTACCCCCTTAAATCCAGTTTACCCCACAGAGTTCTGGAGAGAGGGCCCCCTTACACACCTCCTATGATATCTGAACAAGTTCCCTGTTGTGAGCCAACCCTCAGCCTGGGCTCAGCCTCAGTTTCTTTGAAACTGATTGTGTGTCTGACTGAGTGCCAGAATGATTGTTAGTCTTTTCTGTCATCCGGAAGAGGGCATGTCCTGTCACAGTCCCCGGCATGCTCTGCCAGAAATGTAGAGAAACAGGAGAATTGGTGGTAACACAGCTCTCTCCTTCCTAGGCCATAGATAAGGGGTTGCCGGAGCTATGGGCTACAAGGGCACTAGTCTACCAAAACATTCAGAGCAGCAGCAGACTGAGGGAAAATACAGAGAGGGGCATGGCTCTTCTGAAGATACAGAGCAGCAGGAGACTGGGGGGAAAGTCTGAGCCCACTCAAAAACCCAAAGTGGCTGAAGTCTGACGTCCCTACCATATACTAGTCACCAAAAGAGCAGCAGCAAATCCAGTCTTCCTACTCCCCCAGGTTTGGTTGAGCAGGAATAGCAATGGTTGCACTTCATTCCCAAATGCTTATCCCACCCCGGTGGGTGTAGTCCAGGCAGGTGGCTGTGGGCGACAGAGGTTTGGGTCGCCTCCTCTTCGTCCTTTTCCTCATGTCAGGAACTAGGCTTAGCTGCTTCACAGCTGCTTCTTCCTGCTCAGTTCCTGCCAGAATGCTTTATGGAGATGTCTACTTCTTGTGCATCCTAGCCAAGGTGTGACAACATCACAGCAGCAGCATTCTATGATCCCAGGCAGGGTCTCTAGCACTTAATCCAGCTTGGCTCTGCATTCACTTGCATGCACATTAAAGGGTCCTGTAGGCAATGAGTGACCAAACCGCACGAGGAACTGGAAGGTGGTTGGGGCCTTGAGGAGCAGAGAGCTGCAATATCAGTCTTTTAAAGTGGTGTTTATATCAATTAACAAGAAACTGAGCTGCTAGTCTTGTGTTTTATTTAATTCAATGGGAACTTTGTCATGGGTGGTTAGTGCAGCTGGGGCTGGGGGAGACAGCCCCCCAGTCCCACCTACAGCCCCGCCCCTCTGCTGAAGCTCCACCCCTGGGGAAGGAAGGAGGTGGGGCAGCACGCCAAGCGCTCCCCAACCTCTCCAGAGCACTGGGGAGAGGAAGAGAAGGAAGGGAAGCTGTGTGTGCAGCGTGGCTTCCAGAGCACGAGGGGAGGGTGGGAGATAGTTCCAGCCTCCCCGGCCAGGAGCACCAGGAGGGCGGATGTTGGGGGAAGCAAGATCCCCCCCCCCCCCGCGAAGCACCCCCCCCCCCCCCCAGAACACCTATAGTAGGGGCTCTGGCGGCAGAGTGTGGGCATGGCCAGGCGGCGGTTCAGGAAGGCAGACCCTTCCCTTGCCTCAGCCACCAGATGCCCATAACTTTGTCAATGATTTTGTGGGGAGACGGAGTAAGCCCTAAAATGCCTCATGCTTTCTCCCCCTTGATTGCTTTTCTTTACTAATCAAAATGTCAAATGATGTTTACCTCTGACTCAGTCATCTATTTTCAGCATTTTGACTGAATCATACTGAACCTTTCTTCTTCCCTTGGTACTTTAAAAATGTGAATGATTTTAATTGAAATATGCAGCATTTTGTTGTCCCCATAATTGGCTTTTTGTGCATTAATTATACAGTGCTGAGACTCTGAGGCGTGAACTTGAGAGAGAGAAGATGATGAAAAGACTTTTGATGACAGAATTATGAAATTCTCACTTTGTCACACGGAGACTGGATTGAGGCCTATCATGTGCCTTCTGTCTGTTTACATTCCTCCACTTCTGTGTATTCAACATAATGCATCATGAAAATGTGTTATGTTCCCAGCTCACTCAGATTCATCACAGTTGGTTAAAATTTAAGTCTTGACTTGATTTTAACTTGGAGGAGTTCCTTATTCATTTGCTGCTGGGAAATAAACCTTCAGTCCTTTATTTATCCTGAGTATTAGGATTTTCTACTATTATAAAATGAATTTTAGGTTTGGTTTTGGTAAATCTAAGGTAAAAATGATCAACAAGGAACATACTGATTTCTACTGAGAAATACTGTTCTGTATATATGTTAATAACTGCACAGAGATTAATGTTATGCAGAATATTTTGATAGTAACATAGAAAATGTCATTTTGTATAACTGAAAATTGCACCGAGTTACTACAGTTTGTAAAAGAATCATTTTTAAAAGCAGGAAAATGATTATTATCTCTTAACCCTAGGACTGTTCATCTCTGCTGAAAAAAATGGCCATCTAACCAAATTCTTAACTTAATCTTTACTCCAATATATGTAGATATATCAGTGCTGCCTAAAATCATGTCATCTTGATTTGACAATAAAATAAATCATCTTGTACCCTGGCCAAAAAAAAAAACCTTCATTTGTTCAGAACAATTTGCTATTGATACTTATATCATTAAAGCAAAAATCTGAATCATAAACAGTTTTAACTAAGACTCTGATCCTACAAACACTGGCATACATCTATAGATGCATGTTTATATTAAGCAACTGAGCTGTCCCATTGAAAGTAATGGGACTTCTCCCCTACTTAGTGTTAAGTATGTGTTTGCAGGAGCAGAACTTTAAACAATTGGTTTATAGTATTAAGATCACACAATGACAATCTAGGTCATATTTCCTTAAAGAGTGTCTGATAGTTTCCCTTTTTTTTAGTAATACAGAATAGTAAATAATTTAAAAAGTTGACACCAATTCATCATCAGCTATAACACACAATTTTACTCAGAAACCTTGTATGTGTTTTATATGGCCCAAGATCTATATTTTTCTGTTACTCTGTACAGTACATTCTCCAGTTTTTAATATTGTTCAACTCAAAAGATGCCCTTAATTTGATACCAATGACCATAGATGTATCTAAATTTAACTGGCATGTTGGCTTTAAAGCTAGGAAATGCATATGGTAAGATTCAATTTTCTTCAGCATTAGTTATGGTCATTTAATATGAAAAATCTTGAGTGCATTTTAGGACTCTTGATTGCAACTTGGAGACAGAAAATTACTTGTCTATTTTATATTCATTTGGGCAGGAAATGAACAGAAGGCTCTTCAATTAAAGTCTGATAATGTTGAACCTTTTCTCCAGCTACAAAATGAAGCTAAAGTAAGTGGCGTAGGTGTCAGGGAGAAATCCATGATGCACTCTGTAATGAAATGGCTTAACATACAGAAAAGGTCCATGGAGTTATACAAGTATTCAGACTTGTATGTTTCTGAGTACTTTACAGACTGTATAGTGGCCTTCTAGTTATGACGCCAACATTTGGTGGCACACTTTTTGTACACCCATTTCTGTCAATCAGAGATTATTTTAAACAAATGGGAATATTAGCTCCCTCTGAAGAAATCATGGAGGCAAAGAATGTTCCAGGCATAAGATTATGCTTTCATTCTGCCACTTCTCTTTAAGAGACAATGTGTAGTCCTGTGGCACCTTGGAGACAAACACATATATACATGTATAGTATCATGAGCTTTCATGGGCAACATGAACTTCCTCAGATAAGCAGAGTGGAGATCTAAGGAAGTAGGTTTTGCCCACAAACCTCATGGACTACTCATTGTTTTTAATGTTACAGATTAACATGGCTACTCCTCTGAGACAACTTCAGAGGGATTTTGGAGGAAGGAGAGCTACAAATAATTTTTGCCTGGTCACTAATAAAAGAGAGCAAGCTATCAAATCAGAAAAGGTTCCTAGAATAGCCACTGTTTTCAGAAACAGGAAACAAAAATAATTCCAAAGATTGGAGTTACTTAAATTGCACAGTCATTTCTACTGAATGCTTCTGGCTTGTCTGTTCTGAAGCAGCCATGAATTGTATGTGAAATTCCTTCACAGAATGTGTAGCTGGCCACTTCACAAAAATTATAAAGGAGAAAGCTCAGTGTTTCAACACTCTCCTGGTTTTGTTGAGTGTTGCTGTGCACTTATTCCAGAATGCTATCATGGGCAACTAGAGCCCCCGGATCCTGCTTTGGTTTGGGCTACCTGCTACTGGTTAGCTGCATTCGGCCAAAGGTTTCAGAGAGAATGAATGCCAGATTGGGAATAGCCTCTTAGTTTTTGTGACACACAAATAAGCTCTGATTTTGTTACAGTAGAGAACAGCCTGGCACTCCTAGGTGTATAAGAATTCTCAAGTGGAAACTTTCAGAACAGGGAAACTGATACACTAAGATGCCCTGTCACCACTCTGCATCTGAATGGACTGGGTGTGCTTCGGAATAGCTGAGAAAAGAACAAGGACACCTTTGTGTTTTAGAGATGGAACAGAGCTAGAGCCGACTTACTTGGTCACTGAACCCCAGATCCTCACAAGTATTTAGGTGTCTCCCATTGATTTCAGGGGCAGCAGGCTCCTAAGAGGCTATGAAAATCAGGGCCTGAGTCTCTGCCAATGCAGGATTGTTCTCCACAGTATATTCTCATATGGTTGTCTAGTCTAATTTTAAATATCTTAAGCAATGGGGCTGCATCCCTTCCCTTAGGAGACTGTTCTATAGGCTCTTAGGAATGGTTTTCTGATATTAAATCTAAATTCCATTTGCACAATTCCATATTTTTAGTTCCTGCACACTCCACGCTGAGCAAGTGCAATCTGCCTCTTTAATGCACAGCCTTGTCTGGACTAGGATTGAGAGGAGTAGTGTTAAATCCCTAGTACAGACAAGGCAGTGACCATCTGCTAACCTGGTCCAGCTGAAACCTAGGCTTCCCTGTAGACTTTAACTCCACAATGTTAGCAAGTGTTGATGTATACCATATCTTTTCTACACTGCACTTTTAGAACACATAAGTTAGCACCCATTAGCTAACATTTTTCAACACCTTTAAATCATTCTCGAATCCTAATCTATGGTGGTGATAGAGAAAAGTTTATTGCTGAAGATTGATTTACTCTCAAATCTCAGTTTTACGAAGTGATACTATGACTTTGCTGTCAGAGCCCAGTTTCAAAACTTTGAGGCCTTAAGTGTTTTCCTTGTTTAGGTGGCAACACACAGCTTCGTGTTTGGATGCTTGCAGCAAAAGTAAGCTTAGTTGTTTCAAAAGGTAGACAATGGTTATGTAATGGCTAAACAAGTATTTTCCCATGTTGCCATCTCTCACAGGATTTTTTTTTTTCCTGTGTGGCTACCCATTTGAGCACCTAAAATGAACTGTTTATTTCAAGGGAAATGGCCAGGTTTTCTCTGGAAACATTGTTTAAGGTCCTTAATCAGTATCAGAAGATACTGTATGTATAGCTTTTGATATTACAACCATATTTATATCCTGAGATACAACGTTTAAAAATCAGTTCCTCCTTAAAGTCTTCACTTCAGGGATTTGTGTTTCCCCTGCAAGAGTTTGCCCACTCAGCCACTTCAAACAGAGCAGGCAACTGGGTGAAATGCTTTGATGGAGGCAGAATTATGTTGTCTTTATACTGTTTATGGAAATCCTTCATTTTCATTTGTTTTCTTGAATTTATCTTTGGTCCACTGGTTACAGAAATCTACTCTTTGTAATTATACAATGGAATATTGTTATTTCATTTTTGATGTCCTGATATTGAAGGCGTTTGCAATAAATATACTGAGACTGATCTGTTGATTGCATGTAAGATCAGCCCTACAACTGTGTTTTGTAAAGTTAAGTGCCGTAAAGGAATTCTCAGATGACGTGGGGTGGGGGCTTGCTTCTCTCTCAGCTGCTGTTATTGCTGCTGGGTGGCAGCTCCAGCCCAGGTTGCTGACATCATTTTGTTCCAGCTGAGCAGCAGCCTGTATCAAGAGACGAGTACAATGACATTTTAGTTGACACATGGCTTGAGAGAAACTTTATGGCTCAGCTGTTTACCTGTTCCTGTATTCATGCCTGCAATAAAAGAGAGAAAAATAAATCACTGAGTCTGAGCAATCTATGTTCAAATCAAGGATCTGGGTGGCATGCTACATTGCCCTATTCAAGGAAAACATCTGATTGCTAATGAAGTGGATCCACCTTAATTAGGGAACCCCTTAGTTAAGCAACCACTGAAGAATTTCCCCAAGAAATCTAGCACCATTATGCTCAACCTTTAGTTAAAGGCCATCTCTACTGGGCAACAGATATTTGCAAGTCCCATGGGGGGTTGCTTAAGGCAGGCTTCACTGATTTACTTATGCTGGAAAAACTGCCAGAAATAGAGTAGCAATAAATCATGGCATTTTGTCTTCCTCATCTTTCAGTTCATAGGGTGACAGATACCTGTTTGAAAGGATGAGCAACAGAGCTATACAGCAGATGGAAGTTCCATTTTGCAAAGGATTTTGACAACAGATTTTATTCCAAATAGGAATGGAAACCCAAATATTTTGAAATTCTCCGCAGAGGAAAATTCAGAGGAGAGGAGGGGAAGGGAGAGAGAGGCTGAGTTGAGCTAAGTGTTTCAATTTTCACTTCAATTTCTTAAATCTCCTGGTCTATTCTAATATATAATAGACTACAATATGAAAATAAAATGTCATTTAACTGTGAAAAATTGACATGGTTCATTCAGAACATGTCAAAATGGGATGTTTCAACACTGTCAGAACTTTTCCTCCAGTTTCCTTCCAAAACAAAATTTTGGCAAAATTGAAACACACCAGTCTTCATCGGAACACACAGTTCCATTATCTAGGATTTCCTCAAAATTTTTCTCACCAACTTGAATGTGAAGAGTTCATGAGGGTTTAACCTGTGTTCTGGGAAAAGGATAAAATAATAATAAACAGCCTAGAACTTTGGACAAGGTGGGCTCCAAAGCTTAACATTTTTTTAAGTTTGTGTTACAAGATGACCGTGACCTATGTCAACAGACAAGTGAACACCCAGATACATTCTGTAACTCGGGAGGCATTGTTTCTGCTTTTTGGATCAGAAACTAGTCTTCTTTCCCTGAGGGCATTGTACCTAAATGGCAATGAGACAAGGTGATATTTGCAAGATAGTAGGTTGAATTGCAGAAATCTACTATGAGAATGGCAAGGGAATGACAAGATGTATGGGCTTTATTACACAGACACTTGAGGTGAAAGCCAGTCTTTGTTTAGTTCAGTGGGGTCAGGTTTCACCCCGGGGTTGTTCAATATTGGTGGATTTTGCAAAGGTGCTGAAGTGATGTAGCAGCACAAATCCCACTGCCAATCAATGAGACCTGTGCCAACAAACCATGTGGATGCTACAAAAAAATACCACCCATCATTATTTGTTGCTGTTGCCATGGTGTGTTAGGTGCCACACAAAAATCTTATTACTTTAAAAATAAAAATAATAAAGAACAAAGAGAGGTTATGGAGAAAGAGGGACAATAAACAATAAGGGGGTCAGCTGGTATTTCACCTCATGTAGACAATAAAATGTTGCATTGATGTAGGGGGGTGGTGGTTCTACCCTATTGTTAACTATAAATATATAAAGATGCACATATGGTCCTAAATTGCCAACCATTCATTTTGTTAGAATCTCTCTCTTTGTAATCTGGGCAAACAGCAACATGAATCATTACTGGTGCATGTGTGCAGCCAAAACTGTTGTTATACATCCCTCCAACTGGAGTAGAAATTTTCCTTTCCAAGGTTATTTCCTCTGCATTTCACTTCCAAGATCTTCCAAAGTGCCATAGTCCAAAACTCAGATTTTTAAAGTTATTTAGGCATTGTTTTGCTCCTTTTTGCATCCCCTCAGGCCAAAACCCAAAAAGATTTTTATGCACCTAAAGAACTCTGGGCCTAAGTCACACAGAAGCCTCTGTCTCATTTTCAAGAGTGACTGAAGGGGCCTTTCACTGAGAAATGGTCTTCTAAATGCAAGAGGCACTTTGGATAAACGAGACGGGTTCCTAAGTCATTCAGGCCTTGCAATCCAGAGTGGTGCAACACCTAACTAGCTCTAAAAAACAGGGTCCTAATGACCTCCTTTTTGAGCCACAAGTCATGCTGCAGCTCTCTTTTGCACAGCTACTTTGGCCCCATTTACTGATCACCACTGTGTATGCTTACATCTCTCTAAAAATTATGGCACAGTTTTAAAGAGAGTGCCTGCAAGATGCTCAGCACTTCTGTAGATCAGGTCACATATTTAGGCACCTAAATATGGATTAACAAGTCTAACTTTAGGCCTCCATTTTTGAAAAATCTTGACCAAGTTCACTCCTCCTTCATTTACAGCTCCCATCAAGGATCTTTTATCTCAGGGTGCATCGACACAGCACCGTTATTTCAGAATAATGACCGTTTTTTTGAAATAACAATGCAAGCGTCCACACAGCAATTCCATTAATTTGAAATAAATTCGAAATAATGGACGGCTTATTCTGACTTCTTTAAACCTCATTCCACAAGGAATAACACCTATTCCGAAATAGCTATTTCAGAAAAGCAATAATATGGACACTACACTGCTGCTGTTTCAAAATAGCTCCTCCCCAAGGCCATTCAAACTACTTACTCTACCATGCCTCCTGGGGCTCTAAATCAGGTAGAACATCCACATTGGGGAAGCCTGCCTTGGACTAATTTTGAGGCTTCCCTGTAGTGTAGACGTGCTATTTCAAAATAAGCTAGTTTGTCATATTTCTTCTGGAATAGCTTATTTCGAAATAAGCGTGCAGTGTAGACGTATCCTCAGTCCTGCCTTGGTAGAGCACACAGGGTAAGGCAGATAAAGGGGATGGAATGTAGGTAATGGCTCTGGATAACCTCTCTAACCTAACAAAACCTTGAATCTGATGTTCTGTGCTTGCAACTTTTGGTTCTAAATATCTGAAAAAGCTTTATCAGCTTAAATCCTTGAGCTTTTTCTCACTGACTGCTGCAGATGTCAGTACAGAAGAAGTGGCCACTTTTTCCCAGCCCTCTTGATATTTTCAGACCATTTTAATAATCTAGACTAATGGCAGACATCTGAAAAGGCTCAGTTACAGATTACCGAGGGTGATGTTTTTCAGTGATCTTCCTTTTAATCAATCTATTCCACTAATTCACGTCCTGCGTAATATTTGTGTAGCTATTGGTACAACTTAGGCATTAGATATAAATAAATACATTAGCCCCTTAAATATGTGTAGTACTAAAAGATGCTCTTGAATGAAAGGGTAATCTGCATCGACATTCTTCATTTTCCTGATTTCTTCGGGTGTAATTAATGTTTCCAGCTCCACCTGATTTACCAGGAAGTAATTGATCTTTTCATATGTGCTTACATAACACTCTCGGCACAACACATAAGCCATTTGTATGGGCAGTTTATTCCATAAAAACTTCCAATGCATGATTTCTGGCACTGTTCCCTAAAGAAGCTGGAGCTGGCCATTCTCAGAAAAAAGACACTAACTAGAAGAACACTGAAGGTACGTCTATACAGCATCATTATTTCAGAATAATGGACATTATTCCAAACTAACACATTCCGTGTCTACACACAGGCAGTTGTTTCAACATTATTGTCGAAATAATGTTGAGCTGGAGGACTGCTTGCTCTGACTCCTGTGATCCTCGTTTTACGAGGAGTAAGGGAAGTCAGAGGAAGAGTGCTCTATTTCAAAATAAGTGCTGTGTGGACGTTCCCAAATTTGAAATAAGCTATTTCGATTTAAGTTACACAATTAGTGTAGCTCAAGTTGTGTAGCTTATTTGGAGTGTAGCCCTGCTGTGTAGATATACCCTGGGATCTGTCTGATTTTAGAGCTAAGTCCTTATTACTATTTTTTTTATTCCAACTTTCAAAATAAAACAAAAACCTGAAGCATCTATCAGTCAGAAGGAATACTGAGGTAAAGTACAGGCAGTCCCCGGGTTACGTACAAGATAGGGACTGTAGGTTTGATCTTAAGTTGCATCTGTATGTAAGTCGGAACTGGAGTCAGCCACTGCTGAAACTGATCAGTTTCAGCAGCAGCTGACTTGGGGATGCCTGGGTTTCTTAAGTTGAATCTGTATGTAAGTCGGAACTGGAGTCAGCCACTGCTGAAACTGATCAGTTTCAGCAGCAGCTGACTTGGGGATGCCTGGGTTTCTTAAGTTGAATCTGTATGTAAGTCGGAACTGGAGTCAGCCACTGCTGAAACTGATCAGTTTCAGCAGCAGCTGACTTGGGGATGCCTGGGTTTCTTAAGTTGAATCTGTATGTAAGTCGGAACTGGAGTCAGCCACTGCTGAAACTGATCAGTTTCAGCAGCAGCTGACTTGGGGATGCCTGGGTTTCTTAAGTTGAATCTGTATGTAAGTCGGAACTGGAGTCAGCCACTGCTGAAACTGATCAGTTTCAGCAGCAGCTGACTTGGGGATGCCTGGGTTTCTTAAGTTGAATCTGTATGTAAGTCGGAACTGGAGTCAGCCACTGCTGAAACTGATCAGTTTCAGCAGCAGCTGACTTGGGGATGCCTGGGTTTCTTAAGTTGAATCTGTATGTAAGTCGGAACTGGAGTCAGCCACTGCTGAAACTGATCAGTTTCAGCAGCAGCTGACTTGGGGATGCCTGGGTTTCTTAAGTTGAATCTGTATGTAAGTCGGAACTGGAGTCAGCCACTGCTGAAACTGATCAGTTTCAGCAGCAGCTGACTTGGGGATGCCTGGGTTTCTTAAGTTGAATCTGTATGTAAGTCGGAACTGGAGTCAGCCACTGCTGAAACTGATCAGTTTCAGCAGCAGCTGACTTGGGGATGCCTGGGTTTCTTAAGTTGAATCTGTATGTAAGTCGGAACTGGAGTCAGCCACTGCTGAAACTGATCAGTTTCAGCAGCAGCTGACTTGGGGATGCCTGGGTTTCTTAAGTTGAATCTGTATGTAAGTCGGAACTGGAGTCAGCCACTGCTGAAACTGATCAGTTTCAGCAGCAGCTGACTTGGGGATGCCTGGGTTTCTTAAGTTGAATCTGTATGTAAGTCGGAACTGGAGTCAGCCACTGCTGAAACTGATCAGTTTCAGCAGTGGCTGACTCCAGTTCCGACTTACATACAGATGCAACTTAAGATCAAACCTACAGTCCCTATCTTGTACGTAACCCGG